ATGGATTCAGACGTCAAAAAAGCCGAAAATGAGCTCAACAATTCATAGAACACCGAAATCAAGCATTAGACAATCGTTATTTTTCAATGACTTGGCCTCCCCAGGCACCGCTCGTCGGAATGCATCCGGTAAATTCACAACCACCAGTCAAGCTGCCGCCGTCTCCGCCGTATGGCGTGAAAATTTCTCAACCTCTGATCTTCCACCACCTCCCATGTTCACGCTCGAAGATCGATCCCATTACTCACTTAAATCCGGGATTCCAGACTACCCGGTAGTTTCACCCGAACCTAGTTCAAACCCTAGAACTCCTGCTCAAACTCCATCCAAGTTATTTTCAACATCGTCACCAAGTCATCGAAGCTTAATTCAACGGGGAATCAGCAATTGCAGAGTAAACAGAGTACTGTCGGGAGTTTGAATTGGTGGTCGTCAGGAGGAAGGAGCGATTGGTGGTGGCGATGATAAAGGAGAGGGTCCAGTTCAAGGTGCCGTTCATCATCAGCCATGGGTTATGATCACGTGACCTTCACCTAGAGAGGTTGCGAGACCAGAGATTCAGAGGAATTCTTTGCCCGTGGGTAACCTGGACGAGGAAGAATGGGTCACTGTTTATGGGTATTTTCCTATCTTCTGTTGATTCTGCAATATTTGGTTATTTTGTTAGATACAGTTTGATGATGATGAAGTTAAGCTTCTATGCAATTATATAGTTGATATGATTTGGTGTATAAACAATTTGATATGCTAGTTGTACTCTTAAGAGACTTTAACATGAATCTAGTTGTAGAAACTTGCCTTGTTATGCATCAACACATGATTCAGCCTTTCAAAGTTTATGTGGGAAAAACCTGCCATTGTAGATGGTCATCAACACATGAATTCAGCCCTTCTATCTCACTTGATAAATGGTGAATGTTAAAGAGTCTCAAATCGGATAAACTTGGGCCATTTCTTTTATATATATATGTTGGAACTTACGTTCTCTCAGCAAGGACTTCCACATATTCTCTCATGATATCAAAGCCAATGTCTACCAGTCTAGGGACTTGACAGCCTCGGTTGGAGAAGCGTGTTAGAGTTTCACGTTGGCTAAACTTGGATGTCTGTCATTTTCGTGTATATGTGTTGGAACTTTTGTTCTCTCATTAAACGATCTTTTGGAGAGTAATGTGGTGGTTCCATGTATTCTCACAGTTACTGGTTGTACTTCCATCTTGGCGATAGTAATATTGCATTCCGAAAGTCATTCAATATGAGCATACAGTTTTAATACTCCTAGTTTGGGGAGTTGGGGGACAACAGTTTCCCATTATCTTACCTCTGGTTCGATGTTGAGTTTTCATTTGCTTCTTTCACTTAACATTATAAAGAAACATAACAAAGTCATCATTCATCTTACTGTTGATGTAGTGAGCATATCCTCTATTCTCTTGTCATGTTAAAAAATGAAATCAAAATATCAAAAAGGGTAGTTTCTATGAGGTGTAGGCCTCCCAAAAGGTAATGGAGGCGTGCAAAGGTTTCCTCTGGACAGACGGATGCACCAGTTGTATCTTCTATAAGGCTGGCATCTAATATAAAGAGCCGACTTCTTGGCCTTAAGAATGCTAACCAAGTGATTATTCTACCCATTTCATAAAGTAAAAGGAGCATCCCGCCGACGAAAGGATCACCCTAAGATGATCATGTCATGAGTTCATGCGGTGGAGATGTTGGGGTTGGTCCATGATTTTCCTTCTTTTGCCACTTTTTGTTCAAAGGGTTGAAAGTATTGTCAAGAATATTGGAACATAAAGAAGCTATCTTATCTTATTTAATTTGGGTCGAGTAGCTAGTTGGTGAGGGAATAGCTTACCAAGGCGATGATCAGTAGCTGGTCCGAGAGAATGATCAACCACTCTAGACCTCTACCACCTACAGGTAGTTTTAGACAACTTCCTTTTGAATTATATACCCGTATGCCACTCCTCTAGAAAAAAGAATGCAACACTTTGTTTTGACTTTTGAGTATTCTATCCTAATTTACTTTTTTGCCCATTCCAATGCTCAAATTAGTTGCTTTGGTCCAGAGTTTTTTCTTTATCAAGGGGTATTTTAGACATTTGATCGCTAGTCAAAAGCTTTTCTTAAAACTATGTAGATTGGGGTTATTGCATGTAGGCTTCTTTGGTGAAGAAAAGTGATGTTTCTGCCATTATTTAGAAACATAATAAACTTGAAACTAAAAGCTAAAAACTAAGAAAATGATAGAAAATGCGATTCGAACCTGCACTTGGAAGGGGAGAAAAGATTGCAAACAAACTCTGGCAGGAGAAACTTGTGTTATTATTGTAGTTTCAAGAAATATATGGTTGCACCCAACAAAATAATACAGTGGCACCTGTGTTATTATTGGAGTGTCTTAATTGATTACTTTATAGGAGTTAAGTTTATAGGACATTTTGTATGTCATATCTAAAAGTGTTTAAGTAACGTCATAACAAGCTTTAGAGGACACTTTTAAAACAAAGCGTTCTATTAGCCTTTTATAGAACTTTTTAAGAGGTGTCCTATAAACATATATTTTTATAGGATATTTGTTTTATAAGACACTTTTTCAGAAGTGTCCTAAAAAGTCTTTAAGAAGCCCAAAAGCATGATATAAGCTTATTACAACACCTTTACGAACATTTTTGCTGCTCTATAGACCCAATTTTGTTGTAGCGAGGTAGGTACTTATTGGGTTTGTTTGATTTGTTTTTTTTTTAACTTACCATAATTAGTTTGAAAGATCTATCGGGTTTCCTTTGTTTTGATATAGATGTATACTTGAACTATTTAGGGGTTGTTTGGCAATTGCTGAATAGTTTGGTGCAGAATGATTAAGAGGCTCTCACGATATAGTGCAAAATGAAATATAATTGTTTAGTAATTGTGTACAACGAAATTAGGGCTCTTAATGGTTAAGGGAGATTCAGGATACAAAATCATTCAGATGGTTTTAGAACTATTAAGAAACAGACTTTTTTTTTTGCCAAACAAGATTCACCTCTTAACAATTCAGAGGTTGCCTCTTACTGTGCATTTGCAGGTTTTCGCCTTCCGACACAAACGTGATCCTGCAAGAATTCGAAAGATGCGGTGTAATTCTGAGACATGTTCCACGTCCACGAGATGCTAATTGCATTCACATTCTTTATCAGGTTTCTATCATCTAAAGATTCAGTCGGTTCAAATTCGGTGTGATTTTTGTAAACTGTAATATTTTGTTGACGATTCAGAGTCAAGCCTATGCTGAGAAAGTGCTTAACAAGGACGGGATGCAAATTAATGGAAGTCTAATTATCGGGGTGAAACCAGGCTCTTAGCAGTAGATCCAACAATCTTGGATTTGTGCTATCGAGCAGAAGTTCGGAAGTGATCGCCTTGTCGTCCGATCGGCTTCGAAATGGCAGTCGGAATGCTCGTGAATCGGGGGGAACCATGGCCACCTCTGCGAAATCGATGGTGTCCAAGATTTCGGACCTGATGTTTGTGGTGTAGTTCGGTTGGGCTTTTCTTAATTCCTGCCATTGTGATAGAGATGAAGTTTTCAGAAAGTTATATATAATCACAAGTTATGTAAAATTATCTAAAAATATAGGAAAAAAAACGTGAAAGTACACGGGGTAAGAACAAACTATTTGTAAGATGACGTACTTCAACAACAAAATATTTAACCACCTGATACTTTAAAATCGAGATCCGAGACGTGTTATATGACATATTCATATACTATATACTATAAGGGTGTTCACATAATATAACGAGATCTATCTTAATTTAATGTTTCGTTTTATAATATATCAATGTCGATATAATACGGTTTTTTGGTTTTGAGAAAACGATAATGTTTTTATTTTTTAATAAAATATAAATATAAATATATTATAAAAATTTGGAAAACAAATATATTGATATTAATATCAAATTTACTATTTAAAGTTCTGTTTTTTTTTTGTGAAATTTCTTTAACTCAATATTTTATTTATAATTTAATTTAAATTTAATAACGAAATAATTTATTTATTGTTTAATAATATAATTTTTATAAAGATAATAATTAAGTATTTTGTTATAACTAATGATAATCATAATTATATTTTAGATTTTTTATATTTAAAATGAGATATATATTTAATATTTGATTATGTTTATCTATATTTAGTTATACAAATTAAAAAATGAAGCTATTGTACGTACGCACAATTACTTGCGATCTTGAATTTTAAGTAATATGCATAACTAAACAGTACTTTATGTATAAAAAATGGTTTTTAAGAGTTTTTGTCAAATGTTTTATAATATAGGTATAGATTAGAGGTGGTTGGTATTTAATAATGTGAAATTTTTTGACCAAAATATTAATTATATAAAAAAATTAATTGATTATAATTATATACTGAATTAGATAAGTCTGACTGATTTTTTTTTTTCATTCTCTAAACCTGTCCATATTCTTTAAAATGGTTATCCAATATCGTAGGGTTTTAACGGAGCTGTATGAAATTTGTTGAATGATTTAGTGCTGAACAATTAAGTGATCAGAATGATTAAAAGACTCTCATGATGTAATGCAAAATAAAATATAATTATTCGGTAATTGTTTACAATGAAATTAAGACGCTTAATGATTAATGGAGGTTCATGATACAAAATGTCAAAATCATTCAAAATGTTTTAAAACCATTAAAAAATAATTTTTTTTTGCTAAACAAGATTCATCTCTTAATAACCTGAAACATTATTTTTGTCTAATTATTTTTAGAAAAATCCACCCTTTTCCAACTAAAAACGGCTATGGAATCTACAATAAACCATATTGACCAAGTCAAATATTAATTTCCGTACAAACATTTTAAGCAATGAAATAACCACCCCCACGTCCACCACGATCACCCTAATTTCCCTACAAACCTCCGCCACCTTTATAAACCCACCACCACCGCCCCACTTTCAGACCTTGCATCCCCCCAAAAATGGCTTCCCTTTCCACTTCCAATTCATCTCTTTGCTTCTTCTTCATCTTCGCTGTCGCTATCACCACCGCTAAGGAATTCCAAGTTGGTGGTGACGTCGGTTGGCGAATTCCGGCCACCAACGAAACCCAACTCTACAATGTCTGGGCTTCCCGACGACGATTCCACGTCGGAGATTTACTCCGTCGGTTCAACTCCTTTTTCACTTTTCACACAAATTTGAAATTTTCCCTTTCTTTTTTATCGAAACTGACGTTGGATTTGATGTTACTTGAAACAGGTTTTCGTTACAAAAACGATTCGGTGGCGACGGTTGAAAAATGGGGGTTTTACCACTGCAATTCGAGTACTCCGATCACCATCCACCACGACGGCGACACCGTGATCCACCTCTACACGATGGGTACTGTTTATTTCATCAGCGGCGATCGTGACCGGTGTAAAAAAGGTCAGAATATGAAGGTGGAAGTGATGGGTCCTGAACTTGTTTCGCCATTCCCGCCGACGATAGGTACTTCGCCGGAAAACCCTTACTCCAGTGCCATGGCTCCGTGTGGTTCGCCGGAATCTGTAACAATTTTTTTGCTTTATGTGTCTGTAGTTGGTGTTATGGTAGGTGTAGGATTGTTTTCATGGAAGCCGTAGGAGGTCTAATTAAGTTTAGTTTTCTAGGATTTGTTATGCAATTAGAATTGATTTCTTGAATTGATTTGGTGTTCTTTTGGATTTTATGTTATTCATATGTGAATTGTGTTTTCATTTTGGGGGTTATCCAAGGTAGAAATCTGTTATTCATATGTGAATTATACTCCCGTTTTGGTGTCATCGAAGGTAGAAATTTGTTATTCATAACCTGGGAAAGGTATTTATTGACTCCATAACATATAATGGTTTTAATTGTAAATGTCATGCTTAATATTGACTATTGATTGTAATAGTGAAATGCTACGTATAGATTTTTCGACATATAAGGGTGTAAATTAGTCGTAACGAGTTACTCAAGTTCGAGCTTAATAATTATCGACCCCGAGTTGATCTCGAAGACCCGCCTAACTTAATGAGTCGAGTTGCATAACACCAGCTGTTAAACTCGACTTGTTCGAAAGCTCGATTAAACTTCGCGAGTCGAGTTGAAACAAACGGAACCATTCGAGCATATACTCTTTCAAGTCAAACATATTTATATAATCAACAGATAAAAAGGTAATCGAGTAGATAAATGAATTAATCGATCTCGTATTCGAGCTCATGCTCATAAACGAGCATCGAGCTCCAACATTAACAAAATATTCGAGCTCGAGTTCCAACTTGATTTTGAAAAAGTTAATCGAACTCAAGTTGAATTCGAGTCCGATATTTATTTTTTAAGCCGAGATCAAATAACCCACTACTCAACTCGAGTGAGGGGCTCTTTGGCAGTTGCTGAATGGTTTGGTGCAGAATGGTTAAGAGGGTCAGAATGATTAAGTGCTGAATTAAATAATGTTGTTTGGTAACTGTTCTCTGAATGACAACAAATTACCATATTAACCCTGGTTTAGTACTGAATGAATTGGAAGTCCGAAACCCCAAAATGGGTTCAAGTTTTTCTAGAGAAAAATTGTAACACAGAACATGGAATTAATCATCAAACACCCTACTTGATTTCAATTGCAATCCATAACATCAAATCCTTCATCAAGAGCCTAAAACAAACCCTAAATGACGAACACCCAGATCGAGAAATCAATCATATAACAAAACACAGATGAATTTAGACTTCAAGGAAACAAAGAGGGAACAAATCCAAAAATCACATTGAAGCAAACTGGAAGCCTGGTTTGGTCGTCGTCGGAGTTGAAGCCTGGTTTGGTCGTCGTCGGAGTTGAAGCCTGGTTTGGTCGTCGTCGGAGTTGAAGCCTGGTTTGGTCGTCGTCGGAGTTGAAGCCTGGTTTGGTCGTTGTCGCCGCTCAGGCCTTCCGCCTCTGCCATCCCTCTCCGTCGCCAGCCTTCTGCCTCTGCCTTCCCTCCGTCGCCAGTCTTCCGCCTCTGCCTTCCCTCTGTCGCCAGCTTCGATCGACTGTTCCGGTGACCCACAAGAAGGGGGAAAGGAACGACGGCCACTATGAACCCTCGATTTTATTCTTGGAGGAAAGGAACGACGGCCCCGATTAAAGAGGATGGGCTGTGTAGCGATCGGGAATGGAAGGGGGAAGAAGAATGGAAGCGATCAGGGGGATGCGTGAGAAGAGGGCAAAGATGGAAAAAAACAGCCCCTGAATGGTTGAGTGGAGTAATACCCTCAAAATGGTTAAGAGCCATATGTAACCGTTAAGAGGTTTTTTTTTTTTTTGCCAAACGGTCATAACCTCTGACCGATTAAGAGGCTCCCTCTTAATGTCACCATTAAGAGGCTCCCTCTTAATGTCACCATTAAGAGGGAAACAAACAGCCCCTGAGCCTATTTACAACAACAAAAAAACTTAAAAATCTCCATTTTACAGGCGAATTTGTTTAAAGAGATTGATTTTTTTGGGGGAAAATTGCAAGAAAAAATAACGTCTTTAACTTAATTCATATTTTCGGTAACATACTTTTATAACTATCATTTTGATATCTAAGATGTAAAGTTTTAAACATTTAAGTATCGGAATAGTTGGTTGAAGCATTAACCGGTTACCATGCTGATGTGAGAAGTAATATAGTATCCAACTCAATATTAGTTGTTATTCAACTCAAATTCATCCTATCAATCACCACATCAACATGATAACTGGTTAATATTTCAACCGGTTACCAAAAAACTTAAATATTTAAAATTTTACGTATAAAGTACAAAAATGAAAGGTTTAAAACCGCTTTACTTTTTCATGTAATTTTTTTTTTTTTTAATTTCTCAAAAAAGTTCTAGAAGATTTCATTAAAACGGAGCTTCCAAAGCGTGAGGTGAGCCTGAAGTCACCCTTATCTTCTTAAACCCTAAAATTTCTTATCTCAAACTCTCACACCTAACTGTGTTTGCTCTCCTTCTCTCTCGTTACTATTTCTGGTAAGTCGTTCGATTTCTAATCTATGGATTTCAAGTAATTGCGTATCATCATTCAAGGTTTTTTCACCTGCTTAGAAATCCAATTTAGTCATATGTTTATAATTATGTATTTAGGTTTCTTGTTTGTGAAGCTCAATTTTCGATGGATTTAAGCTCTGTATGTAGCTATTTTAACGGTTTGGGTTGAATTTGGTTCTCCATTTGTGCATCTTCGTGTGTTTTCTGTAGTCAACTTGAAGAAATTGATAAGATTTTAGTGTTTGAAGTTGCATTTTAGTTTGAATGAGCTCTGTGAGTCGATAAGATTTTGGGTTTTTTGTTGTTTGTGGATGAAGATGATGAATGTTCATATGTGAATTTTGGTAAATGTGTTTGAGATATTGAGAAGGATTCAAGTAGCACTGACACATTATTGTAGAGTAGTAACAGATTTTTGTATAGTAATTGCATCAATAATTTGATCTAATGGAAAATTTGAGCTCTAAGTTACAACTGATGTAATTTTGGGTCTTTTTTGTCAACCATAAGCTAGCTTATTTTTAAGCTTATTGAAAAACCCCGTTTGGTTAGCCATTTTTTTGAGCTTATTGAATAACCCCGTCTGGTTTGCCATATTTTTCAGCCTCTTGAAAAACCCCGATTTGTCAGCCATATTTTTTAGCTTATTGAAAAACCTGGTTTGGTTAGCCATATTTTTTAGCGTATTGAAAAACCCTGTTTGGCTAGAAATAAGCTATCATTTCAACAAGCACGAAGGCCTTTTTTCCAATTATGGCGGTTGTATTTTTCCAATTAATTTTTCAACATGTCTTTTTAGATAACTTTACATCGTCATCTAGCTTATGAGTTGGTTTTTACGGAACATGAGTAGCTTATCAACCAACATCTAGCTTTTTAGCTAGTTTGCCAAACATAGCCTTGGTGTTTGTGTTAGAAGGAATATTTTCTCTTTTCAGTAAACAGAGAAGTATTTATTTTTTCTGCATGTTGCGGTGTTTTCTTTCTCTAGTTGCAATACCCATGGGGTTTTGGGTGATTCCGTTTCTCGACTCTTGTACCCACTTATATTGTGTAATGATATCTTCTTACCTTGTGGGTTTTTGTAGCTACTCGATTGAGGATTGTTAGAAGATGGCATCTATCACTCCCTTGTCTTCCGTCGGGTCTTTTGCATCTCCAAGCAGTAAAACGAATAAGACAATGACAAATTCGTTCGAAACTTTGTCTTCATTTTCTTCTGTATCTTCAAGTTCTCTCGGACATGGGAGGCGGAATGTAGTTCTCCAGAAAAGATGTTCTCTCAAGGTTAAGGCAATGGCCAAAGATATCTATCTTAACAAGGATGGGTCTGCGATTAAAAAGCTACAGGTAGCATCAAACTAAGATGTCTTAGCTTTTGGTTATTTTGATGATACTTGTGCTGATATATATGTGTGTACTTGTGTGTAGGCTGGTGTCAATAAGCTTGCAGATTTAGTTGGAGTTACTTTGGGTCCAAAAGGGCGCAATGTAGTGTTAGAGAGCAAGTATGGTTCACCAAAAATTGTGAATGATGGTGTAACCGTTGCAAAAGAGGTACATTAAATGGACCAAGAAATTCATGCAGCCATAAGTCCGTCTTGTTGGTTATAATCAACCCTTCTCGAGATAATTTGGGATTATTTTATAATAATAGATCTTGTAAGGATGTATTTTTGTTTCTACATGATCTGGTTTTTCAAAATTTCTGTTGCCATTCCTTCTCGATCAGAGCTTTTCAAAATGGGTCTAATTGAAATGCATATATATAATACATATTGGGATTCAAGAATTCTTACATTTCCATCAACGTAGGTTGAATTGGAAGATCCCGTTGAGAACATTGGTGCCAAGTTGGTGAGGCAAGCGGCTTCAAAAACAAATGATTTGGCTGGTGATGGGACGACAACATCTGTTGTTCTAGCACAAGGCTTGATAACTGAGGGTGTAAAGGTATGTGGTAGATACTTGTACTAAATGAATATTTTTGGAATCTTGAATCTTGAAAGGTCCATATACTCGTAGTGAACTCATCGAGCTCTTATCCAATAGGTGGTGGCAGCCGGTGCTAACCCGATTCAGATAACAAGGGGAATTGAAAGAACCACTAAAGCCCTTGTTGAAGAGCTTAAGCTAATGTCGAAAGAAGTGAGTTTGGCTTTTGTTGATTAGTTTTAGATTGTTTTCTTGTGTTTGCTTCTGTTTTATGTTTGTTTATTAATCTGTTTGAATGTTGTTGCCGATTTTTGACTCCTTTTCAATTTTTAGCATTGTCTTTATAATTTTCACATTCGTCCTATTTTCTATTTCCATATCTTTCCTGCAAACTTCATCATTCTTTTCACTCCTTGCATAAGCCGAGAGCCTTCACGGAAACAACCGCTCCTTTCTTGGGGGTAGAGGTCAGGTGTACCTACATCCCATCCTCCGTAGACCTCACCCCTGAATCGGACATACTATGTTTCTTTGATTTTGGTTTTTTAGATCGTTCAGACCGCCTGAATTTTTTTTGGTACATCTTTGGTGTCTAAGTTGACAAGATTTTAACCAACTTTACTCTCATTGTATGCAGTGCTTCTTGATGGAACTGTTTTTGGTGATGACGTTTATTTGTTAAACTTCTTCTAAATGGTATGTCGAATTGCAGGTTGAAGACAGTGAGCTGGCAGATGTGGCTGCAGTAAGCGCAGGAAACAATTACGAAATTGGAAATATGATTGCTGAGGCAATGAGTAAGGTGGGGAGGAAAGGTGTAGTGACTCTTGAAGAAGGAAAAAGTGCTGAGAACAGTTTGTATGTTGTGGAAGGCATGCAATTTGATCGTGGTTACCTTTCTCCATATTTTGTTACCGACAGTGAAAAAATGTCCGTTGAGTATGAAAACTGCAAGGTAATAATATTACTCCCTCCATCCCAAAATAAGTGTCTACATTTCTATTTCAGTTTTTCTTACAAAATAAGTGCCCAAAATTAAAACTAAGGGCCTACTTTCCAATTCTACTTTTAATTATGAGATGGAAAAATGCATTACTCCCTCTAATATGAAGAGTATAATTTTCATTTAATTAATTACAAAGTGTAATAATTATGCATTTTTAAAACTGTGTCTTGCCCTTTTCCTTTATGGACATTTCTTTTTGGGACGAAAGGAGTATGTCATATCATTCGTATTACAATTCAAGCATGAGAGCGTTTTTTCATAGTTATGGATTCTGATTCATTTGTTTTATGGGGTGTAGTTGCTTCTGGTTGATAAAAAGATAACAAATGCAAGGGACTTGGTTAGTGTTTTGGAAGATGCTATAAAGGGAGGATACCCGATATTGATTATAGCAGAGGATGTTGAGCAGGAAGCTCTTGCTACTCTAGTGGTAAACAAGCTACGAGGTGCCCTAAAGATTGCCGCACTCAAGGCACCTGGATTTGGTGATCGCAAAAGTCAATATCTTGATGATATTGCTATTCTAACCGGAGGCAAGGATTTCTGTTCTTCTTTATTAGGGCGCATTTGGTATGTAGGACGAGACATAACAAACACTTGCTATCCCATGTTTGGCGTGACATACGACAAAAATGCTTTTTCCTTGTTGGACCAAGGGAGACGGGATAAGAATGACAAATTATTAAACTACCCGTGTCAAAATTAAAACCCTAAAACCTTACACAATTCTTTCACTCACTCTCACTTGCCAGTCCTCTTACGGAGTGCACCTTTAGTGAACATATTATGAATTTATGCCTCAAGTTTTGTCCTGCTCCTTTTTTTAACGTCGTCTTGCATATGATTCAGGAACCGTAATCAGAGATGAGGTCGGCTTAACCCTCGAGAATGCCGGGAGTGAGGTTTTAGGACTTGCCGCAAAGGTGGTGCTGACTAAGGATACAACAACCATTGTCGGCGATGGCAGCACCCAAGAGTTGGTAAATAGACGGGTTGCTCAGATTAGAAACCTCGTTGAGGTACATTTCTACAATGCCCTATATATCCACTTCCATTTGAAGTTCCATTTTCTAATTACTGACGGTTATCTTGGATAATTTTACAGGCTGCTGAACAAGACTACGAAAAAGAAAAACTAAATGAAAGAATTGCCAAACTATCTGGCGGAGTCGCTGTTATTCAAGTGAGTTTTTCAAGATTTCTTGTTCATCATAGATTTTTGTTTTTTCCTTGCCTCATTTTTAAATTGTATTTCAGGTTGGGGCACAAACAGAGACGGAACTTAAAGAAAAGAAACTGAGAGTTGAGGATGCGCTCAATGCAACAAAGGTTAAGCCACAGACTATTTTAAGATTGTAAACGTTTTGTGGTTTATTTTCTTTCTTCGGTTGCATTTAATGCTTTTGATATACGTTCTACAGGCGGCAGTTGAGGAAGGGATTGTAGTGGGGGGAGGATGCACTCTATTGCGCCTTGCTGCAAAGGTCGATGCTATCAAAAGTACCCTTGACAACGATGAACAGAAAGTTGGAGCCGAAATTGTTAGGAGGGCACTTGGCTATCCAATGAAGTTGATAGCAAAGAATGCTGGTGTTAATGGAAGTGTCGTGATTGAGAAGGTATTTTTTTTGGTTGAAAGCTTAATCATTATGTAACAACCTGCCCCAATAGAAATGTAGATCTTTAAAAGCATCTCCAATAGATTCTCTATAATTTCTTTAAAATACATACAGTTAAAATTTCTTAAAAAATTACATTCAACTACAAGATGTTCTCCATTTTAAAGATTTCAACATCAAATATATTATTGAAATATTCTATAATTTTATTACCCTATATACTTTTGATAAAACTTCATATAAAATAATAATATTGGTAGGAGTGAATAATCAAGTTTTATAAAATTCTCTAAACTTGGGAGTTTTTTCGTTTTCTCTATTTTAGAGAATTTTTTTTGGAAGGGTGTTCTAGGCTATGCCTGGACTAATCCGACAAATTGTGATTGTAAGAAATCAACCCTAATAAACTCAGTGGCCACAGTTATCGTGTATGCCACCACATCCCCACAGGACCTCAACCACTACGCCACAACCCTTGTGTTTCTATTTTAGAGAATTTGTTAGAGATGCTCTGAGCAGTTCAAAATTGTGGGCTGCCAATAACTTCTTCCATCATGGTTTTAAGTTGATTTGGAGGTTATTGGGTCGGCCTATTGCTTTAGAAAAATAGATCCTTTGGGTTGAGCGCGTGCATTTGTTGTTTCAGGTCTTATCTAGTGACAATCTCAAATTTGGTTACAATGCTGCAACCGGGACCTATGAGGATCTAATGGCTGCTGGCATTATCGATCCCACAAAGGTAAGTTTTTTAGTTTGCCGCAACCTGAAATATCTTTTGCTTCTTGTGTATAAATTTCCCTTTATTATACTAAATGTTACTCTACTCGTTCCAAGATAAGTGCCTACTTTTTTACTCTAATTTGTCTCTAGAGGGAAGGGGTGGGAAGGGAAGGAAAGGAAAGGAAAAATATGTTCTATATTTATTTTTGGCGAAGGATCGTGTGAGAAGGAGAGTTAAGGTGAGAAGTGTAAGATTGGATCTGGACCCTTGATCACCTTTTAATCTCAAACCTACCCATGAATCGCGCTTGATACAGGGACTGATCCGCTGCATCTCGGTGCATCCAAGGGTGGAGATCGCTTCTCACGCTTCTCACCTTAACTCTTCTTTTCACCGGAACCCAACCCGTTTGTTTTATAGGGGATTGTAATTGCCGGGTAGATGTGTAATGTTATAAAAAATGTAGTTATTATTCTTTCCTCCCACATTTGGGAGGAAAGTTGGCATTATTTTCTTTCGTTTTCCTATCACTCCTAAAAACACGAGATGACGTGAGTTTGTCTTTCCCCCTACTTCCTTCCTTTTCCCTCCCTTTCTTTCTTAAAAAAAGGTCTTGAGAGCACAATGTTAACAATGAGATGGAGAAATTTATTACTCCCTCTATTATTAAGGGTAAATTTGTCATTTAGTTGATGAAAAAGTCTAATAATTACATGATTGGATCGACGCAGGTGGTGAGATGTTGCTTGGAGCATGCATCATCAGTTGCAAAGACCTTCCTTACATCGGATGCTGTGGTTGTTGAGATCAAAGAGCCTGAACCCATGCCCACTGGAAGCCCCATGGATAACTCGGGTTATGGTTACTGAGACTCATGATCATACGCTAGAACCTCAACCTGTGGTAGTAGTTCTTCGCTTTTCTTTTTATTGCCGCAAGAAGTTGGGTAGATGCTGAATCTCCTTTTTAAGACCCTTTTCCCGTTATATCGAGTGGCGGTTAGGTTTGTTAAATTTTGGCGGATATGGTTTCGAAATTGTATTGAAATTGGGAAGCGTATATGAGTCGATTCTTCCGAAATATGATGTTGGTTCAGTCTATGCATTCGTTCTATCTTTTTCGATTGATTAACAATCTCCAACAACTATGTTATTTTAGAAAGGACAAATTGTATACCATGCTGATGTGATGAGTGATAGGATGAAGTTTGGTCGAATATCAAATAATACCGAGTCGAATACCATGTCATTCGCCACATCAGCATGGTAACCGGTTAATGTTTCAACCGGGTACTTAAATATTTAAAATTTTACATCTTAGGTGCCAAAATGGAAGTTTTGAAAGTACATTATCCAAAATAGGAATCAAATTAAAGTACGTTACTTTTTCATACAAAATATAGATTTGAGAAAAAAGTCTGTTCCAACTGCTATGCTGAACTCTCGTCTAAAATAGAGAAAAGAAAGAAGAAATCTCCGAATTTAGAAGAAGAGAGCATATAGTGTACTTGGATATCTCTAATGAAACAAGTGAGTTGCAGGTTGTCTACCGGGTAAGATGTGTTTATCTAGGATAAAAATGGTCTTTATCAGTAATTTTATTGTGTTATTTTGTTGACAGAGAATTTTACCTGGTGAGGGTGTAGACTTTTATCTGGTACGTGTGTACATGGTTTATGTCGGTTAACAACCCTTCAATGCTTATAGACTCCCATCATGTAAGTAGTATTTACCGAGTAAGGACTGTTTACCAAACGTGTACTAGATAAACACTTACCGGCAAGAGTCATCATCATCGCTTATCTTATCTTGTAACATTTTCGACCATTAGAATGGATTATTAGTAAACGTCTTTTACTCTGTAAGCATTTTCCGGTTAAAAACCATCTCCTTTACCTACCGGGTAAGATTCTTATTCTTCATCATTCTCACCAATAAGCGAGGGATATCGGATAGCAGATAAGTGCTTACCCAGTAAGAGTTCAGTAAACGGTCTAAAAAGACATATGTAAAAAAGTCAAAACCACACAAATGTGGTGGAGTTTGGTCTAACACTTGAGGAGATGACCAAATCAAAAGTCAAAGTCTGAAGGGGGTGTGAGTGACCCAACCTCTTATCAAAGTTTAGGTCTATATACAACGACTTTTTGTTGGACTCCAACCAAAATTTTAGTGCAAATTTGTGTTAAAACCTTTGAAAAGTTTGTCCGAATACTTGGTTTTAAGAATAGGGTCGTAAACGAACTGAACGAACATGTATTGTGTTTGTTCGTTTAACTTAACCGAACAAACGACCGAACACGAACGAAAACTTTTGTATTCAAATGTTAACTCTTAATGGAACTTTTACGGATGTGGAACATTTTACATTTAATATTTTTAATTAACTATTTAATAAATAATATAGATAATTACATTTTAAAAAATGTGAAGAATAATAATAATAATAATAATTAAAAATAAAAAAAGTCAATTACCGTTAAAAAGCAGATCGGAATTAGTGGCGCACTTTGTATTTTACTGGTATGGGTTGGCTTAAACTTTGAAAACCATTTTATTTCTATTCGTTTTTAGTGGAAACAAAAACAAGATAAATATTTTAAATACAATTGATGGAGAGGCTAAATATACATTTATCTATTGTTATATATATATATACACACACACATGGTTGGGTTCACGTAAGACAAAATTGTTTTCATAAGACACATGAGACGCAAATTTTATACTTGAAACTTCATAACAAAATATTGTGAAGGTAAAAAAAAGTCAAACCTTCACAATACCTTCACAGCGTTTTGTTGTGAAGTTTCAAGTGTAAAAATGTTATCTCGCGTGTCTCACGAAACAAGCTTGTCTTACATGATCCCAAATATATATATATATATATATATATGTGTGTGTGTGTGTGTGTGTGTTCATATTTTTTTGAAATGCCAACAATATATTACTAGAGAAAAAAAACTTTATTAGTCTTTCAAAAATATCTAAATCATAATAAATGAATTTTAATTATTTTCATAAATATCCTAATTAATTGGTTTGTATGGTTTGTGTATGTGTGTGTATATTATATAACGTTAGGTTCTGATGAGAAGCAAGGTTAAAATGACAAACATAAGAAGGGATTTCCACCATTTTGATGCACATTAGGATGAGATGCATCAGATTAATCCTCGTATCAAATGCGACTCATAAGTGGGTTTAAGATAAAAGGTGATCAAGAGTCCAAATCCCTTATTACTGTAACACCCCCATTCCGAAGGTAGGGAGGTTACTTCAAAACGTAACGGAACGCTATATAAAACCTCCAAAATGTAGTCTCCAATACAAAATAAAATCTTCCAATAACGAAATTAAATATAACTCCAAATAAGATATAAAGGTCTCCAAACAAACTATTTCCAAAATCCTCCAACAACCGAGGAAAATCTAAAAACAACCAAAGAAATCTAATCTAATAGCTAGAAAGGAACAAAATCTAATAAATGAATTAACATAACACTAAACCTCTTGAAATCCTTGGAACCAAGATTCTGATCTACTCTCTTTCACAAAACCTATCCGTCCCTTGTTTACCTGCCGTGAGGAAATTAAAAAAAACACGGC